CTAATGCAGGAGAGGAACTGTTGTTCAAAGGGACGTCTAGGTGGGATACCAAGAGCGATAATCGGAGAAAGGAACAATCTTCTCTAGCCGAGCAGTGCCTCACGTCACATCGGTTCCAGATTTGACCACTGTTTCACATGATAGTACAATATAAGCATCAATGTTTGAGCCCTTAAGCAAGTCTCTCGAGACGTTTATCACTAGACTCTTGAAATCTGCTAAGAGAGGAGAAAGGTCAAGAAGGACACTCAAGAAACCGAAGTCGTACAAAGATGAGTCAGATGGCTGCATTGATACTTGGATAGAGGTGATGAAGTTGCACTTTGAGGAAAAAAACCTCTCAAAGAAACAGGTATGTAGGGCACTGACGAGCAACTTAGATGGCACGGCCCTGAATTGGGTTATGGCGAAAAGGAAAAATGAAAAAGACAGTGCTCGTAAGAATTTTGACATCTTGCTGAATCTTTTGGGCTTGGGTGCGCAGGGACATCAGGCGATGGTGAAATTTGAAAAGAGGCGCCAAAGATACGATGAGTTGATTGACAAATTTTTGGATACCTCGAGCTGCTCCCAAGGAGAAGCAACCCTGACGAGAGAATCTAGCAAGGAACTTAGCCATAGCCTCGAAGTTCATGGACGGAGTAAAGAGTGATGAATTAAAAACCATGTTCGCAGCCCACTTTACCTTGTCAGCGGACTCTGTGCCCACGCCCAATGATTTGCGCATGAAATCGCTTGAATGTCTGCTCATAGAGCCGAGGGCTCAGAATCTCTACAGCAATTAGGGCAATTACAGTAGAATGAATACCGGCACAAGTTTCGGTTGGTAAAAACCTCGTGATTACATGGACAAAAGGAGGTCATGCGCTAATTCTGGTTCGCTGGACCATCACGTCTCAGCCTGTTCCACTTGTAAGCTAAACATAAAAGCGATTGGTTACTTCCCTGACGACGTGGACCAACTGATGAGGACCACCAGGAATCTGTGATAAAATATGTGGTTTATGTGGCTCATAATGAAATATGGACCAAGATATTTCTTTTGCAATCTGGAAGGGCAATTCAAATTTGGCTGCACTCAGTTTTGTGATGCAGTAGCAGACGCAAAACATCCTCACCATCAAGAGGCGCTTTCAAGAGTAAAGGTCAGTCAAGCACGCCTAATGAACGAAGCTGAGTTTTGCAAGAAAGAAGTGTCACAAGGCACCTTCACGACTAAGAAGGTGAAGACCTTGCCGGACGATGCAATTGCCTCAAACATAGAGGCTGTCCCAGCTAATGCGATTAAGGCGGATTATGGCCTAGCGGCTCGGACCGCTCTACAGAAAGTTCAACAAGATTTAGCTATGAAAAATGTGCTCTCAGTTTTGAGATGCAATAGCAGACGCAATGCATCCTCGCCACGAAGAGGCGCTTTCACGAGTAAAGGCCAGTCGAGCACGCCTAATGAACGAAACTGAGTCGCTCAAGAAAAAAGTGTCACAAGGCACCTTCACGACTAAGAAGGTGAAGACCTTGCCAGATGATGCAATTGCCTCGAGCCTAGAGGCTGTCCCAGCTAATCTGCCTTAGGTGGATTATAATCTAGCGGCCCGGACCGCTCTACAGAAAGTTCAACAAGAGTTAGATATTAAATAAATTGAACAATGGGTGAGGTCTGAATAGGAGAATACGGAGTTGCGTGAGAAACTGGACACCTTGAAGAAGGCAGTGAAATGAGAAGACAACCAGGAACCCAAGAGCCGAGGTTTGAAGTTGAATGTCATCTCAGGGAATACCTTCGGAATGACGAGAGAGGGAAGCAAGATTATGTCAATCATATCGTTCGCGGGTCTTCACGTGGTGAAGAACTTGAGTGACCCGTCTGAATTAACCCAGATACAACTGGATATCTATGCAGATTACTTGAGGGGAAAAGATCCTAAGTTGGACTCAAGGGTTGTGAGAGCGTTACTCACAACGAGTGGGCCGAGGCTGATGAGGGTAGAGGGACATTTTATAGAGGTCTAAGAACCATGCCCGACTCTGATGAGTGTGGATGGCATAAACATTTACACTAAGGCTCACGTGACGAATGCATGCGATCAAGTAGGCCGGATCTACATCGGACAAGAGGAAATCAAGGTACGACAAATTGGAAACATTCCCACGCTTGAGCAGGATGCAGTCCACATAGGCTGCGAAGCCGATCTAGCAGCACACTCCGTAAAGAGACTGCTTGACACTGGAGCGGTGGTCAGTGCCATGCATGTTAGCACCTGGACCACCAAAGAATGTGCCAACCGACAAATATCAGGCTGGCTGCGGCCAATCAGGGTTCAATTTATGTGGTCAGAAGGACACCCATCATCTCGCTGCAATTGGGAGGAAGGCATCTCTGGACGACCTTTCTGATTGTCGAAAATCTGGAGAGTCCGTTCAGTTCATCTTAGGACGCGAATTCGTGCAACAGTTTGACCTCACAGTCGACGTCAACGACGGGTTGAAACGAATCAACGACCCAGAGAGGAAGTATGAAAAGAAATTTGTTCATAAGATCTTCATAAATCAAGCAAAGGAGCCGATTTTCCTTAATCGAAAACTTAGGTTGAAACCGAATCCAGTCGTAGTGGCGACGTTTAAGCTGAGAAATTTGAATGAACTTAGTAACCACACACAAGTATGTCTGGTCCCCAACCCAAACAGTAAGAGCTCAGCTATTTTAGGAAGAAGCTTCTCACTCACTCAGAACGGACTATGTGTGAGTGTGTTGTTGAAAGAAGCTTGGCTATGCTTTGCCTCTGAACACAGAACAGTTTGGAGAACTTGAAGAGATTTAAAGTGATTGATTGTCCATCACATGCCAACAAAGAATGTATATTGAAGAGGATAAATGAAATGAAGTCTTTTTAAAAAGTGTTTTCTATGAAATCGGAGAAAGACGGTGGACTGTCTAGTTGCTAGACGTTCCCTGAGAGACCGACAGACACAGAATTAGCGGCAAACAAATCAGTCCTACCTGAAATAGAACACCTGCAAGGCAAAATATTGGATAAGGAATTGGACTCCTTTAGGGAGTGTGTTGAATCGGAATGCAGACGTTTTTTCGAAACACAAAGCCGACATACGTGGTTGCAAATTTGCGGAAAATGAGATAGTGATAGAAAAGTGTTTGGTACTTAAGGGAGCTAGAAGAATGACTTCTCATAAGTAATAAGTTGAGGTTACAAAAATCATCAAAACAAAGCAAAAATGAACAACGATAAGAAACGACCATTTTTTATATAAGCAGCCATTTTCGATATATAAAAAAACATAAAATCCACAATCAGTAGATAATCTCAGAAAACTTTGACATTTCAGACAAAGACTCAGATCAAAAAATTACAAAATCTGAGAGCACCTATTGTTTTAAAAATTCAACTCAAAAAGACATCTTACTCCAAATTTTTTACCAAAACATCGCGTTTTTTCGGCGCACGCTCCCCCTTAAAATTAGTATATATTGGCGCCCAGGGCTCTTTAAGAAAAATTTTAGGATACGTCAGCTACAAATGGATAGCTCAAAGTAGTACAAAGGGTGGATCCTTTGGTTCAACAGGGGTCGAATCCCTGAGCGGAAGGGGGAGTAAGCCCCCATCCTAAATCCGCCTCTGATTTCAACTATTATAGATGATTTCATTCATTTTCTTGCTGGTTTATTTATCATCTACTAAACCACGCTATTTTGTTCCGACTTTTGGGTCGTGGGGTATTTATGATATGGATTATATGGTATCATTTGTATTTATGGTATGGATTGTATATCACCTATCAAGCCACGCTGTTTCTCTTGACTGGAGGTTTCTGGAATGTTTTTATCCAGAGAAAAAGCTCTACTTTTGACTGAGACTAAAATGCTTTTATGATTCACTGTAATTTTGAATCATATAGTAGTTAGTAGACAAAAAAACTTCGCAGTTTGTAGTTTACACAGCAAGTGGTGGGAAAAATTAGAAAAAATGAAGAAAAAACCACTTTACAAAAAATTCTGTATTCGCGTAAAAGCAGGCATATGCCAGTAGAAATTGTACTTTGCCACGGATTACAACTCAAATGGCATAATTTCCAAATGGTATAAAATGAAAAGTTTCCCAACTGGCATAAAGATCATGCAACAGTTGCATTAAAGAAATCGAAAAACTTTTTCGGGAACAATTTTGACTAAACAAAATTAGTCAAACTGTCAATTCAAAAGTTTTTTGACGTTTTATCTTAGAAAAAATTGCAGAAATTTTTATCAAAAGCGAAAAGCATAAGCTTCGGCTATTAATAAGTTTCTTATGGCCAATTTTTCTGACAAAACTGTCGCCTAGCATTTTTTTGGAAGCAATTAATTCAAAAACTTAGTCACGTTTTTGTTCCTGACAAAACTTTAGAATTAGAAGTTGATAAAAAACGTTTGAATTACAATGAAAACTTGAAATTGATGTCATTTTGAGAAAAAAATCGTTTTTACGCCATTTGGGAGTTGTGCCATTTGGGAAGTTACCTTTTCCACGCAATGTTAAAAATGATGAATAGTTTGATCATTTTCAGAAAAAAAATTATGTTTCTTCTATGCCGAGTAAATTTTCATTATCTCGGCACAAACTTTTAATGAGAAAATTTGAGGTACATTTTAGAAAGATTGAATGAAACTCAATATTATATGGGTGCTGATTTACACTACAGGTCAACTTTTTCACTACAGGTCTCCTTGGTCAACTTTTTCACATCCTTCAACTTGCTTAGCAACGTCTTCATTTAGGGTCTGCTTTTTTCATTGATTTGTGGGATTTTCATCAATTCGCTTTTGTAGTTTAATAAGAGAAATTCAGCGATACTTTTTAGAGGGCTTTCAGCTTTCAGCGGAAACTCATTAAATCTGCTTGGAAAAATAAAGTTGATTTAATTTTCAAAAGCTTGCAAAATCCGTTAGCTGATTTTTTTAACTAAACTGATTAAAATAAAACTACAAAAATAATTCAAAATGGTTCTGATTTCGAATTCGATTCAGTACTTTTGAAAAGCTCGTAGCAAAAATATTTCATTTCATTCACATCGTGAACGCGGGGTTGTATGAGCCCCCCATGTGATCATGGTAAGCACTCGGATGGTCAACTGTAGGGGGAGGTATAGGGTACGTTGCTGAATGGTAAGTTCTTCTCATCTGTTGTGATCGATGATGTCTTGAGTGTTGTTGCTCTTTTTGCTGGTAGGCTTGTACTCTTGATGCTTCCTCCGCTTCTTCTAAACAAACAATGATTTTTGAAAACTTGAAACATTCCTGTTAGGAAAATTTAGAGAAGCGATAAACTCTTTGTCTCTTTTGTTGGCTGCTTACAGGATAAGAGAAACGGACTAAACTCTACAGGCTGCAAAGCCTTCCACAGATCCTCTGCAAATCTCAGAAACGAAATTTATTATTATTATGATTATTATAATGATTATTAATTTTATTATGATTCTGATTATTATGATTTTTATTATCATTATTATAATTACTATTAGGATTACTATGTTTTTTATGATTATTATTTTTATTACTATGATTATTGTTATGATTATTATGATTATTATTATGATTATGATTATTATTAATATGATTATTATTATGATTATTAAGATTTAAATTTATTTAATTTTGTTATTATGATGAATTTTATGATTTTTATGATTATTATTATGATTATTATTATACTTTTAACGCTATTATGATTCTGGTTTTTATTATCGTTATTATTATATGATTATTATGATTATTATGATTATTATGATTATAATGATTACTATGATTATGATTAATATAATTAGTATATTGTTATTATGATTGTTATTATGTTTATGATTATTATCATAATAATTATGACTATGATTATGATTATAATGACTATTATTATGATTATTGTTATTTTGATTATTATGATTATTATTAAACTAAAATTTTAATTGTTATGATTATTTTGATTATTATTATTATAATTTTAACGCTATTATGATTCTGGTTTTTATTAACATTACTATTATATGATTATTAGGATTATTAGGATTATTATGATTTTTATTATCATTATTATAATTACTATTAAGATTATTATGTTTTTTATGATTATTATTATTATTACTATGATTATTATTATGATTATTATGATTATTATTATGATTATGGTTGTTATTAATATGATTATTATTTTGATTATTAAGATTTTTATATATTTAATTTTGTTAATATGATGATTTTTATGATTTTTATGATTATTATTATGATTATTATTATGATTATGATTATAATTTTAACGTTATTCCGATTCTGGTTTTTATTAACATTACTATTATATGATTAATATGATTATTAGGACTTTTATGATTATTATGAATATTATGGTTATGATTTTTTTAAATCATAATTATTATTGTTATTATGATTACGGTTACTGTTACTATGATTATGATTACTATTATTATGATTATTATAATTAGTATATTATGATTATGATTGTTATTATGATTAGGATGATTATTATCATACTAATTAAGACTATGATTATGATTATAATGACTATTATTATTATTGTTATTTTGATTATTATTTTGAGTATTATTTTTATGATTGTTTTGATTATGATTATTATGATTATTATGATTATTATTCTGATTATCATGTTTATTATTATAATTATTTTTGTTTTTATTTTAAATTTTTTTATGATTTTCGCTACCACTATGATTATTATGATTATGATTATTAAAAATGTTATGATTAAGATTATAATTATTCTTACAATTATTATGATTATTATGATTGTTATTATGATTATTTTTATTATTATGATTATTTTAATTATTTTAAGTGTCTTTGTTGCCTATAATCTCCAATCAAATCATCATTTTGAAATAGTTTCAATCAACTGTTTTTTGCAAAAATTGTTCTTTAACTTCTTTTTCGTCTTCTTGATGACTAATTTGTACATCTGGATTCCATGTCAAAATCTATGTCTCCCAAGGAGATTAAATTCTGATATCTTTTCCGTTTTCCTCTCAGAGCAATCAATGAAGGTTTTATAATTGCAAATGATAATCTTTTTCTTAGACAATGAATGAACTTAGAATACTTATTTCGCGTTTTCTCGCTTATTTGATAGCTAAGTCTTTTGAAACACCTTGTTGCCTCCCTACCAATAGCACCATTTGTGCCAAGTACAAGAGGGGTAAAAGAAGCATGTTTAAATTATTTCACCATACTCATTTCGTTTTGCGTTTTCATGTATCTTCAGAACTTGTTCAGTTGTTTTGTTTAAGTTTGTCTTGTTGTTCAGATGCGTTATTCTAACGTCAAAAACGTCCTTTGTAAACGTCGCCATAATCCTACGCATGGTATATCTAATCCAGCTTCTTTTTTTTCATCAGAATCTTGTTCCGCTGCGTTTTTTCTTCTGGTTGTACGTGTTGGATTTAGAACAGGTTCGATTGAAACATCTTTGCTGGTAAGCTGGAGCATCTGTGCACTTATATCTCTCACTGTAATATGTCTTAAAATTGTGAACCCTCCCAACTTGCATATCGCAGATTTCAGATATGTCTTTGCAATTACCAATCAAAGCGATTATGAATGGCATCATTAAACTCTTTCAGGCTTAGATGCATTCCGTGCTTTTTTGAAGGATTATTATTATTATTGATACTATTAGTATTATTACAAGAAATATTATGCTTACTATTATGATTATGATTATTATTATGATTATGATTATTATGATTATTATGACTATTATGATAATTATGATGATTATTATTTTTATAGTTATTTTGATTGTTATGATTATGATTATTATTACGATTATTATGATTATTAATATTATTATGATTACTATGATTTTTAGTATTACAATTATTATGTTTATTATGATTAATAATATTACTATTTTTATGATCATGATTATTATGATTCTGATTCTGATTATTGTAATTTTTATTATTAAAATTATAATCATTATGATTATTATTATTATTGTTATTATTACTCTTATTATGATTATTAAGATTATGATTATAATTATGATCATTATTATTGTTATTATTATGATTATTATGATTATTTTGAATTATAATGATTATTATGGATAGTATGATTTTTTTTATTTTGATTATTTTGATTACTATTATGATTTTTATGACTTTAATTATGATTTTTTTAATGATTATTATGATTATTATTAAGTTGATTATCATTAAGATTATTATTATGATTATGATTAAATATCCGTATATACAACATCAATTAAATCATGAAACCAAGCTGGAACCTTAAATCGAGATTTCATTCTTTTGGATGCGATAGTATATCGATTCTTCAACCAATCAAACTACTTCGCAACACCGTCTTTTGAAAGGTCAACAGGTTTTTTGACAAAAACCATAGTTAGCTCCCCTCTCCCCACAATTACTCCCTTCCCTTCACCCCTTAATTTTCCGCTCCCGTTTTTCTCCGTTATTCAGTTATTTTTGATGTTATTAGTATTTTTGTAAGAGTTATTATGATTACTATTATGATTATGATTATTAATATGATTATAATTATTATGATTGTTATGATGATTATGCTTAATATTATGATCATGATTATTATGATTATTATGATTATTGTGATTAATATTGTTTTAGTTATTTTGATTGTTATTATTATGATTATAATTACGATTATTATGATTATTTTGATTATTATGATTATTATGTTTACTAGTATTATAATTATCATGATTATTATGATTATGATTAGTATTACTCTTATTATAATTTTTATGATAAAGATTTTTTAATGATTATTGTTCTTGTTATTATTATGATTTTCATTATGATTTTTTTTTACTCTTATTATGATTATTTTTATTATGATTATTATTATGATCATTATTATTGTGATTATTATGATTATTATGATTATTATAATTATTATGATTTTTATTATAATTATGATTATTTTTGTTATGTATATTATTATGATTATTATGTTTTTTATGATGATGATTTTTATGATTTTTATGATTATTAAATGTCCGCATATACAACATCAATCAAATCATGAAACCAAGCTGGAACCTTAAATCGAGATTTCATTCTTTTGGATGCGATAGTATATCGATCCTTCAACCAATCAAACTACTTCGCAACACCGGCTTTTGAAAGGTCAACAGGTTTTTTGACAAAAACCATAGTTAGCTCCCCTCTCCCCACAATTACTCCCTTCCCTTCACCCCTTAATTTTCCGCTCCCGTTTTTCTCCGTTATTCAGTTATTTTTGATGTTATTAGTATTTTTGTAAGAGTTATTATGATTACTATTATGATTATGATTATTAATATGATTATAATTATTATGATTGTTATGATGATTATGCTTAATATTATGATCATGATTATTATGATTATTATGATTATTGTGATTAATATTGTTTTAGTTATTTTGATTGTTATTATTATGATTATAATTACGATTATTATGATTATTTTGATTATTATGATTATTATGTTTACTAGTATTATAATTATCATGATTATTATGATTATGATTAGTATTACTCTTATTATAATTTTTATGATAAAGATTTTTTAATGATTATTGTTCTTGTTATTATTATGATTTTCATTATGATTTTTTTTTACTCTTATTATGATTATTTTTATTATGATTATTATTATGATCATTATTATTGTGATTATTATGATTATTATGATTATTATAATTATTATGATTTTTATTATAATTATGATTATTTTTGTTATGTATATTATTATGATTATTATGTTTTTTATGATGATGATTTTTATGATTTTTATGATTATTAAATGTCCGCATATACAACATCAATCAAATCATGAAACCAAGCTGAAACCTTAAATTGAGAATTCATTCTTCTGGATGCGATAGTATATCAATCCTTTAACCAATCAAACTACTTCGCACCGCCGTCTTTTGAAAGGTCAATAGATTTTTTGACAACAACCACAGCTAGCCTCCCTCCTCCACCCACAGTTACTCCCCTCCCTTTACCCATTTTTTCTCCGCTCCCTACCGTTACTCACTTCTCTGTTCGCGGACGATGCATGTGGCTACGCCACTCAATATTCCAAAGACGGTGAGAATGCAGAGGATGGGCAGCACCACACGTAGACACACCCACTTGGCTGTAGCACTGAACAAACAAGCAAACAACCATCATCACGATTCAAAAATGACCAGTCAAATTTATATCTGATCAAAATTATTAGAAGCTTTTAATAAAACACTTCTGAAACTAATTTGAAAAGACCATTTCAATGTTGGTGAAATACAATTGTTTTTCAAGTATAAATCAAGTTTAATTACAGCAAAAAGTTGTTGTCAAAACTTCAAGTAGCCCAAATTCGAAACATTTTGTTTTTTTCTTTTTTTTTCTGTTTTTCGATTTATTCTAGAAAATTAATGTCATAGAAAAAAAAGAATCTTTTACTATCAATGTTTTAGGCTTTCGCTCAGATCTTTTCGTAGCACGACCAACAAAAAACGACGCAATTTGAACAAAAAAAAAAGAAACCGTTTTGTTTTTTTTTATAGTTTTTTAAGTGTTTTGAATATTCTGCGCTACTTGCTTAGCAACCGGCTAAAATGATCCAATTCAGGGGCGGATTTAGGGGGAGGGTGCGGACGCCCCCCCCCCCCTCAGGGATTCGACCCCCTGCCGACCCAAAGGGTCCCCCTTTGCTACTTTTTGAGAAACACGTTTTTGGCCGACCGACCCTAATTTTTTTCTTAAGGCGCCTCTGGCGCCAATATATAATATTTTTGAGGGTGAGCTCGAGCCGAAAAAAACGCAATTTTTCGTCAAAAATTTTCCAAAAAGTGCCCAAAAACGTTTTTTTTTATCTGCCTTTTCAAAATTTGCCTGCGGCGCGGAAAATTTGGCGAAAACAGCGTCTTTTTAGTGCTTTAAAAGAGCTCGGAAAATTAATTTGGTCGACCTAAAAAAAAGTCGTCAAAATTTTCGAAAATTTTTGAAAATCCGGTCCCCCCTCGAGAAAATCCTAGATCCGCCCGTGATCCAATCGTTGACTTTATTGCGAAGGTAAATGCCTTTTAAACCTCTATGACTTTACAAAAAAATGGCAACACGTCAAATATTTTTTAAATTTGATCTCATTTTTCAGATGTTATAATCCTCATTTTTCAAATCCAAAACCATCTGAAGAAAAATAGCCTCGCCGAGCTCATGTATGTCCGTCACTTGTTCATATATCTAATCTGGCAGTGTTAATCTACAAGGAGATCCCTTGTAAAAATAGCCATAGCCTAATTAACCTGGAATAATTAACGTCCGTTATTGGTTGCTGGCTGGTCAATTAAAAAAAAACAATGCGTTTGTTCATACGTGCTGCAGTCGTTCCAGCATCTGTTGTCTAGACAACAGTTGTCGTCTCCCCTTGAGACCCACAATTCCAGCAGCTCACAGTCACTGTCACTACTGCAAGCCAACTCATTCCCTCTCACAAACGCCCCCAAAACACACCAGGACAGACAGCAGAAAATGAAAGTGGCTGAAATTGAGAAACAATCTAATAATTTGATACTGAAAAAAAATATATTTTGCTATTTTTAGAACAAAACCCAATTTTAAACCGTACCTTAAAAAGTCTAATGATTGCCGACGGAGGAGTCGAAATTTCTAAAAATAAATCAAGTTTTCTTACCATTTGAATGCATGTTTGTTTGCAGTGTGCGCTGATAATACAGAAAAGTTGTTGTTAAAAAATGAAAGCTGAAACCAAAGTTTGAGTTAGTTTACTACTAGAGCCAGTAGTTGTTTCGGCTGAATGATCAATCATTTCACGTGATGAACTTTTATTTATGAACATTTTTAAACAAAGCTGACTTATAATCTAGTTGAGGGACGAGCGTTTCTCATATTACATTGTGCTTTGAAAAATCATAATCTCAAAAAATCTCATATAGAAACTCACGAACCCTGCAGATCTGGTAGTTACATATCACTGGAGGTATTTTATTTGAGTCCATTCACGCAGAACTAAGAAGAGAAACTGGTCTCTTGTGGAAAAAAACTTCAAAAAAACAATATGTCAAAAACATTAGATTTCATCGAAATGAACCAACCGACTCCATTTTTTGGAAACTTCAAGTTAAAAAAACGTTATTGGTCCAGTGATTTCCCATTTAAGAGGCACGATAACTTTTTGGTCCAATTAAAAAAAGTTGTATGAAAAGCATTGTTTCCACTAAAATATTCAAAACTGAGGAAAATGTTTTTAGTTCTCATTTCAGTCGCCAAACGAGTTTTGGGAAAAAAAACGTATTCAAAAGCTTTTTTGAATTCGATTTTGTAAGTTTTTGCAAACAACGTAGTCCAAGCACAGTTAATCACTTAACCAAGAGTAAATCAACAGTCACAATGAAGGTTCCGTGTGATGGCAGAACTGGTAGTTTTCAGTTTTAGATAACAACTTTTGACCTAAATCTGACCTAAAAACAAGCAACGACTTTCATCGCACGAAAGTTTTGAAATAGAGACTTCGTAGCCATACACAAAACAAGACCGCTCGTATTAGGGCGAAGCCCTGAAAAATCCGACTGCCTTCGAACGTTTAAGGAGCAGTAATAACCTATAAAAATATAATGTAATAAATTAAAATGAAATTTTTTTTCTAAAATTTGAAATTTTTTTTTCAAAAATCATCACACCACACGCCATATAAAGTACAAAAGGATAGATTTCGCTACTTGTAACAAATCGATTATAGCAAATAAGCTTCTTCCAACCAATTTGGAACGATTTCTGAGACGGATTAAATCTCCGCTTACGCATTAAAAGCGCGAAATATATCGCGCGTTAATTGTCCCAAATTGGCAATCTTTAAACCCCCATAACTTCACGAAAAATGATCACAGGTGAAATATTTTTTCAATTTTAAGCTCAGGACAACAAAACCTTTTGAATGATATAAAAAGATTCCGTCAAAAATGGCTAGTTAAAAAGTCGAAATTTGTCTGAAGAAAAAAAACCCACCCCGAGCACAAATATTCCGTTACTTTCGTATCGAAAGTCGGAACAAAAAAAAGCATTTTTTGATATAATATTGTATGAAATTCAATTGCTTAACCTATTTGGCGTCTATTATTACGTAGTTTAATCTGCGATTTTGAAACCGCTTAACATGTTGGTTTTTGTTTCGACTTTCGAAACGAAAGTAACGGAATATTTGTGCTCGGTTTGGCTTTTTTTTCTTCAGACAAATTTCGACTTTTTAACTAGCCATTTTTCACGGATTTTTTTTAACATCATTCAAAAGGTATTGTTATATTGAGCTTAAATTTGAAAAAATATTTCTTTTGTGATCATTTTTCGTAAAGTTATGAGGTTTTAAAGATGGCATTTGTGCAATTTTGGCCAATTTGGGACAATTAACGCGCGATATATTTCGCGCGACATATTTTGCGCTATTAACGCGTAAGCGGAGGTTTAATCCGTCATAGAAATCGTTCCAAATTGGTTGACGGAAGCTTATTTGCAACTATTTATTTGTTACTAGGAGCGAAATCAAGCACTTTGTACTGTATATGGCGTGTGGGGGAATGATTTTGACAAAAAATCTCAAGTTTTTAAAGATATATTTTTTCATTTTTTTATTAATTTTTTTTTCTTGTTTTTACTGCTCAATAGAACTTAAAAGGTAGTCGGAACATTCAGAGCTTCACCCTGATACGAGCAGTCTTGTTCTATTTCAGAAAATTTTTGGTTTTTGTGTTTCAGGGCAAAAAAAACTTTTAGCGAAACACAAAAAAAGCAACATGGAAAAAAATCCTTGCGATTCAATTCCATAGTATAGAAAAATGTTTACCATGCTGTTCTTTTCAATTGTCCTTTGCAATTTTTTTAATCTATGGAAACGTAGTGAATTGTATGATTGGCATTTTTTTCATAGAATGGAATTGTATGACAAGCATTTTTTGTCAAACCGGGAATGTATGGCGTCAGTCGATGTCAACTTTCAGTATATTACAAAAAAATCAGTTTTGCGACTAGAAAAAATTTCGTAGCGTGCACCATTTCCATACAAACGGTTTGGCTAATTTGAGGCAAAGAGTCTGTTTATGAGATAAAAATTAATCTTTGCAGAGTAACTTTCATTTTTTGGCATCAAAAGCATATTAATGAGTAGTTTTATAATCAGTTTTGCAACGAAATTATCGCGACAGACATTTTGTTCATGTATTTGTCCCATGGGATTTTTTTTTGTCTGATATGAACATGTAATAATAGGGTCATTACGAAGGTTTCCCTTAAACTGATTTCTAATGTTTTTCTTCAAACTGGATAGTTTTATACTTTTTTTTCTAAATGTTTTTTTTTGCTCAAAAATATAGCGCATTTTGCAGAGTAACCGGTTATTTTCTTTAAAAAATTAGCTTGATTCGCAACTTTATTTTTTTGGCTATCAAAAAGGATATTATGGGAAGTTGTAAAAGTATATTTGAACTGATTGTCGCGACAGGTATTTTATTCATATATTTATCCCATGTAATAATAGGGTTCAATAAAAAAGGTTTCCCTCTACATGAATTGAATTAGTCTACAATATGTTCTTTTTAGAAAAATCAAAATAGCTGATTCAATTGGCTTTGTTCTCCTCGTTGTCTAAGCCGATTCCAGCGACTTTGATCGTTTATTTTCTAGTTGAACTTTAAAAATGAGAACATCTTTGATCGTTTCAGTTTTCATAGTTTGTTTTACGATCGTGCAATCTATAGGAGGTAGGAACAAATTTCAATTCTTCCCTCTAAAGCAGACATGACAAAGAGATATAATATCATCCGCTTCGCGCAGATTAGTGATTTCTTATTCAACAAAAAGACAAATCAATCAAACCCAGGGGCAGATTTAAGGAGCGCGGGTAAGTTACGAGAGATAGCGCGTCACTGTCTGGCAGTTGGCCCCTTTCAGCCCGAGCTACAAAAATGCATACCCCGACCATGATCAAACGAAATAATTGATTAGAGAGAAAACGTTTTAATGTGTCTAATTTTTTGTTCGCTTTGAAAAAATATTTATTTGTTCTTGAACTGTTTCCAAAAGTGTCTTTGGTTGGAACACATTTCGCTGCTGAAGCATAATCTCGCTTTTTTATTAATCATTAAGTGAGTCAAGTTACGTTTTACGACATCTTATTGCTTCTTCTGGCATTTTTTCAAGAGATCCACTTTTTGATCATGTTTAGTTTCGTTCAAAATCAATCACAATTGTTGCGTATCTTGAATAGCTTCCGAAAACATAGCAATTTTTAGGCACTTCAAATTCGTTTTACATTTTTATGTTTGTGTTGCTAATGCTTGGGATTTTTTTTTCGTTTTTATTTTCGCAGCATACAATCGTAGGTGGTAACAATTAGTTGCCAAGGTTCTGAATGGAGACCAAATATGTTTGGAATAGCCTAAGTATTCCGCGCGCCAGCGCTTCATGTCATTTAGACCATCGCGTGAACGAAAATGTTGCGGGTGGTAGGAGTGTAGTGGCGGAGGCTATATCAAAAAACCATATCACATATTGATTACTCCGTTTGACAAAAAATGCGCATCATACAAAGTCATGCTATGAAACAATGCTTATCATAATATTTTATACTATTTCATAGAACAAAAAAATTATTTCATAATAAGGTCAAATTAGTTCCGAATGTAGACAAATTTTGGTCATTTGATCTTCCTAAGATCCTTCAAAGTGTTTTAAGACGGGTGGGTTGAACTTTCAACTTAATGCACATAGTTCAATCTGGTCTTGAAATTGCTTTGATACCTGTAAATGATGAAAAGGATGCTCCAGTCTGCTGTTGACTCCAGCTAAGCACTTTCCGTTGTCTGATTGGATTTGGCTGGGTTTTCCAAGCCGAGCGATAAAAAGTCGAAAAACTTGAAGAGCGCAGTCGGCATTGATGTAGTTGCAGATTTCATTATTGTACGGCAGGCGAAGAGCAAAGCATATTGTTTGGAAAAAATTTTGCTGTTTTTTGTTGCGAAGGGGTCAATGAAGTCAGTTTCTGTTTCAAGTAAGGGAACGTTGTTGTTGGGTACAGGCAACCTGATAGTGGGAAGTCTGCCATTAGAAGCATACTTGGTTTTCAGTATAACGACGGCGTGGAAGACAATCTCAAACACCTTTTTCAGCAAGTTTTTTGTTGAATAATACAGTTGCCATGTTTTACGATGCTGCGGCTGTGTTCTACTCCAAAGTGTCAGTTAATGTCGTTAGAATGCTGCAAACAAGGGGACAGGGTTATTGTTTTGAATCCATGATTACCGGATGATCGCCGGAGAGCAGAATTATTGCTTTGCTGAGTCCACCTTTGGCTTTGAAAAAATCATGTTAGTCAAAGAATGAGCAGAAATTTTTTTTTGGCAGCGGTCATGTATCAGTGTTATTTTGAAGGCTAGTGATTTTCTTGGGAAAACTGTCGAGATGTAGTTTTTTAGCAATAAGTTACCAAAGTGCTTGCTGACGTTTTGTTTTGCTCCAAAAAAAAAGTTTTAAATTTGGCGACCGCCTGCTTCAGGTGATCCTGAAGCAGGCAATTGATGCAAAGGCAACCTCCGAGGCGTCGTCGAAGTCAAAAATTTGTATGCCGAGGAACATCTTTGTTTTTCGGAGTAATTTCGCGGCAGACCAAAATCGTTCAACTTATTGCGTTTGCCAATCCGTTCGTTGCGATCTGCCAGAGATTCGAGGTTGAAGGGTATGCTTCTTTGAGGTCTCTTAATCCAGGCAGATTGAAGTGATTTCCGAAAATGTATCGTCAATAGCACTGTGATTTCAAGTTGATCGAAGATTGGGAGAGGTATTTCGGTCGTTCCTCATACGTTTCAGGGCCACTGCGAAGTCTTTTGTCTGACATGAGACTATCGGTGTTCACTAAATAGTTATCTTTGAAGGTATTTAGAAATTGTTTCGAGTTGATCAACCACTTTGCCGAGTTGCAATGTTTGAGACATTCGCATCCGTGTTGCAAAAGACTGCAGTCGATGTTCGTTTGCGGTATTCAATTGCAAATGTTCTATTAGAAGAGGCGTTGTCGGATGAAATTAGAGCTTGATCAAGCTGAATTGTGGCACTGAACTCGAAATCTGGTTTGAGGCGAAGAGATTGAGATTGTGATTGGGATATTCTATGATAGTTGGTGTCTCTTACAGGAGAACTACTATTCTCTATCAGGTTCGAACATGTGTCTTTACATAAAGTGTGACATCCCATGGAAATATAAAAGTCTACGTATCTGAACGGCTGGATCTGATGGCTAAGTTATTTGATTTAATTTTTGAAAATTGGTAAGATTCTTTTTGTTAGTCGAAAAAGGTTGAGATTAAAAGTCAATAAACTTAGCATTTATTGTCCGACATAGTTGTCCGACGACATTTATTGTCCGACAGCATTTATTGTCCGACATAGTTTTGCATATTTTGTTGACACGTGCGTTAAAGTATTCGAAACAACTATTGCCATTGATAGATAGACTGCAGCTACAATCTATCTAATTTAGCTCTAAGAATGTTAATCATATCGCATCATGATTAGTTGGTATTACCTTTGGCTCTTTTCCAGTCCCCCCTTTCAAAATACCGAGTATTATGTTTGTTATGCGTGTTATTACGGCTAAATGCGTGATGTTACGCTGTAAAGTATGAAGAACAAATCTGTTCACAGTTGTCGATTTGTTCACCACGCCAAACTTCATTGCATCATGACAACGTTAAATAGACTTTTCAAAATTGAAATTCAAAGGGGGGGGGGGAACTGGAAAAGAGCCTTACCTTGATAGCAGGTCAGTATGTTGCGTTGTTTCCAGTCGTGTTGACCAGTGTTGCTCTTAACAGAAATCGTGTTTCTTTTACTGAACTCTCAGTCCACTCTTAGTTTGTTTTTACGCTCTTTTGGATGAGGGTCTCAGAACAAGTTAGTTTCAGCATGAGGGTTTCACTACAAGGTTAAGTGCTACTTTTACAGGACGGAGGGGGGGGGTGCAACCAAGGCTCACTATTTTTCTCCACAAGTTTGATATGTTTTTTCGGCTCTTTTCTAGTCCCCCTTTTCAAAATACCGAGCTTTATGCTTGTTTTACGTGTTATTACGGCTAAATGCGTGATGTTACGCTGTAAAGTATGAAGAACAAATCTGTTCACAGTTGTCGATTTGTTCACCGCTTTGTTCATTGCATTATGACAACGTTAAACAGACTTTTCAAAAGTGAACATGAAAGGGGGGGACTGGAAAAGAGCCGTTTTTGCATACTTTTTTCTGTTTGTTTTCTTTTTCTTGCAGAACTGACAGATGAGAATAAGAAGCAGGCGCTGGATGAGCACAACAGAATCAGAGATACTCTGGAGTGGAAGGACAGAAATGGGGCGGAGTTTGAGGGCTTTCCTGTAGGCATGAACAAACTGGAGTGGGATGAGGCGCTGGAGCAAACTGCCCAAGAGGTACAAATTGTCTGGACCTTTCAACCAAATCATTAAGTTCCTGACGCTTTTGCATTAGCCCAGACATTTTTTTATATTATCATTTTATGGAGTCACAAAAATTTCATCTGCTATTATATGCACTCTTCTGTACAAAATTGAAAGAAAAATTTTGCATGCGTTGAAAAGTTGTTTTCAAAGAAGCGCGCTCGTCATCTTTTCAATTTATATTTTAAGAAATATCGATACAAAGAATGAAAAAAGATACCAGAAATTAACTAAATTAAGACTAAATATGCAAAAAATGTCTACTGAAAATGAATAGTTTATTTTTTTCAAGGTAGCGGATCAGTGCAAGAAGAACCATTTGGAATACAGAGGAGCGCTGTTTGAATTACTGGAGGAGGGGGTGGGATCGATTGGGGAGAACTTGGCTTTTGGGGCTAAGTACAAGCCGAAGAGGGATGTGGGGGAGTATGTGAGGTCATGGTACAGTGAGAGGAAGTACTTCGACTGGCAGAAGATGGACTGCGTTCGTAAGTCGGGCTCTTGGCTCTTTTTCCATCCCCCCACCTCTCCCGAGCTTCAATATATATGTGTAACGAGTGGTTTTACGAGGTTGAGTATGACGACCAAATATGTTTGTCGTGGCCTTATTAGTCTGTATGTAAGTTTTCATAACAATAGGACAATGTGGTCAACAAAGCCGGGCTCTTTTATATTGTTACGAAAAACACTCCATCCCCTCTTTCCTCCCGGGTTGAGATAGTCGAATTAAGTATCGACCGTATGGACCAAACGATGTCAGACTATTGACCCAATTTGAATATGTAGACAGAAACTTAAGACCGACTAGTCGATATATAAATCGACCAGGGTCAAACCAAAGTCGATAGAAGTTGACCAAAATCAACTAAACTCGTTTTCCAGACTTCGTTGTCGAACCACAGATTCGAGAACCGACATTGTTCGATGACTAATGAAGGACCCTGAGGCAATGGCGAGTAAACTTAGAAAATTGATAATTTTTAAGTTAAATCTCGTCTGCAGAAGGGCTTACGATTGTTCACACTGATATTATGCGCCAATTATTTAATTCACCAATACAGAAATGTTTCAAGCTGCAGTAAATTATGTAATAAAAATCAACTAGAAATTTGTTCGCGCATGGGGATGGGGGGGGGGGGGGGGATGTTGTCACTCTTGCTCTATGAAATGCCAATTGTTTCAGCCGTTGGAAAATGCTTTCACTTGACCCAGCAACTCTGGGCAGACAGCAAGTACCTCGGCTGTGCCCAGAAAAAGTGCACGTCCACCTATAAAAGCGGCAAAACCAAAGTCTGGACCAACTTCGTCTGTCACTACAGTCCAGCGGGCAACTGGTGGGGAGAAAAACCATTCGCAGTCACTACCACATACAACCCGGCTGTTATGTGTCCAAAAAAGGGCACAAAAATAGACAGCGTTTATTCCAATTTATGCACTGACGAATGAGAAAAAAAACAATTCAATTACAATTGCATCATGAAATAATTCGACAAGATGCATGTTTATTTGCATTTCTGTGGTGTACATCATCTAAATGAATTTAAACGAATCAAAATTTGTATCGTACATCCCTCGAAATGAATTCAATTTTCAGTGCTTATTTTGTGCAGATAAAAACAAAAGATTTATGCTAAAACTGCATGATATTAATAATAATGTATAAATTTATTAACATTTAATATATTACATTTCTGTAATAATTGAAACCCTAAAACTGATTATTTGCTCGATAAATTAGAAATGCAAAACAACTTTACTGATCAAGCTGTCTTCAGATTAGTTCTAAAACACCACTACGAAAAACCAGAAAATGCTTACGGGCGGTACCATGCTTTTATATCCAGATAATCGCGACCAAAAAGAAGAATTACCATACTGCCGAGACCTAATCTCAGAATTTCAACAACTTGCAGATCGAGGAGATAAGTTTATAGCTCTGTCAATGTGGCAAAGCAAAAAAAACAACGAACATAATAGTGACCACCATCGTCAGCGACCGAGCCAAATAGTGTTGGTGCAAAAATCTGTCCGCAATCGACGATGCAAATATGATGCAAAAGTTTTTTGGAGAAAAAACATATACACAGGGGCGGATCTAGGATTTTCTCGAGGGGAGGGGGAGGCGGATTTTCAAAAAATTTTCGAAAATTTTGTCGACCCGACTTTTTTAGGTCGACCAAATTGATTTTTCGGGCTCTCCCAAAGCACTGTTTTGTCCCTATTTTGGCCAATTTGTCTCCGCCGCAGACAAAAATTAAAAAAAAAACAGGCAAAAAAAGGAGTTTTTAGTCACTTTTTGGAAAATTTTGACCAAAAAATTGGATTTTTCGGCGCGCGCTTCCCCCTGAAAACTAGTATATGTTGGCACCAAAGGCCCCCTTAGAAAAATTTTAGGATCCGTCGCCAAAAATGGAAATTTCAAAATAGTACAAGGGGGACCCTTTGGGTCGGCCGGGAGTCAAATCCCTGAGGGGAAAGAGCGTCCGCTCCCCCCCCAAATCCGCCCCTGCATATACATACACGTAAAAACGAGAAAAAAAAACACAGAAAAAAAATGGCTCCAGACATCTTGCATCAAGATCACAAATTATCTTATAATATTACCAAATTAAAATTAGTTATGCGGCTAACTTCTAACTTCCTGATTGTTAAAACTGATTTGCAGATACGCAGTTTTGCGGGATGTCTTCTTGAAAAGGTTCGAATGCAACGGGGTATTTAAAAAAGGACCAAGTTATCATCCTTCTCCCTAAATTCATTTAGGGGGGAGGATGTTAACTTGGTTTTGATTTCGAATTTTCAGCCAATCAGAATAGATCATTTTACATGCAGCGCTAAGTATATTTAAATTAAAATGAACAATGGGGCGGAGGATCTTAACTTGGTCTATTTGGGGGGGGGGGGGGGGAGGATGTTAACTTGATCCTGAAAAAAGTCCTATACTTTGTTAAAAGACTGAAAAGAAATTGTTCAGTTGAAAACTAAAAAATGTCATAAGAAATTCAGTAACTCAGCACTTAAAATAAAATCAGCAGAATGACCATAGCACTTTTGTTTACACTGACAATTTTTGATGTGTGCTTTAGATCAGGTGAAAAAGTAGAAAATGTTATTTTTAACATAGCTTGCTCATTACGAGGCCAACTGTGTATTTTGTGGATTTTATAAGCGGATTTCTCCTCCCTTTGTTCTTTTTATGTTCTTTCATTTTCTTTGATCGTTCCGGAAAAAATTTAACATGTTTAAAGACTTGTTTCTGAAATTCAAGAACATACAAACACAAAATTGTGCGCCTATCCAGTGCAGACTTTGAATCGTAATGCTACGTCTGAATCAAGACAATAAGTCGGTATGTCAATGTAATGTAGGTGACACATTATTACACAGATCTTGATGCGACAAGTTTTTCTACATAACTGAAGTTCAGTTCCAATTCTTCGGAGATTTTTTCGCAGGTAAGGATTTGTTGACTTGCCACTTTTTCTTAATTCCTTCAACCTCTCAATTTTTAGCCTCTTCGTTTTTAGCGGCTTGTCTCAAGATCACATTTTGAATAACATTCTATTTAAAGAAAAATATTTTTGCGGCTAATATGCTGCGAGCGATAAATCTGATATGCAGATTTGCAGTTTTGTTCCATGTATTTTGCAGTTTTGTTCGCAAAGAGGTATTTTCAAAAAAATTTAGTCCTTGTCAAGTAAATAACTCATGGAACTTTTTGGTCAACCGTACAATACCCCCCCCCCCCCTATCGATTTAGAAAAAAGACTGGTTTCTCATATTTCAACTTTGAAATGAATGTTTTTTTCTTTTCAATGTTTGAAATGAATATTTTATACGAAATCAATTTTCAAAATTAATACGTGGCTAGGGGGAGATTCTATCTGAGGTCACTTGGGAAGGGGGGGGGGGGAGTCTGTACGGTTGAGAAAAACTTTACAGTTAAAAAACCAAAAAATATATCAAGAAAGATGGTAACTCAGTTTGTGAGATATTTGATAGGACTTTAGATTAGATGAAAGACTAGATAATGCCACCTCTAATAGAACCGGTTTTATTTGAATTATATCAATAATTCTTATGGAGGTCACACACCATAACATATTTTTCAATGCGAGAGTTTTTCTTAAGCATAAGTGAAGTTTATTTTCTGTTCTCAGGAGTTTTATGAGGATTTGTTGACTAGCCAATTTTTTTAAGATTCTACGCCCACTTGTTTTTTAGCCGCCAAAATTATTTTGACGGCTAAATTGATGATTATTGAATCCGATTTGCAGATTTTTGTCAAGTAAGTCATTCAGAATAGCATTTTTGCTGGCACTGTCAATTTGACAAGTACTTCAGATCTTGACATTGTCATCTTTTATATAACCTGCTACATTTGAATTAAACCAATTAGTCCTATGTTGGCCACATACCACTTTTGCCGTAGCGACACGTTTTTAAAATGCAAAACTGAAACTTGTTACAGCAAAGAAGGTTTGTAGTTTGATTTCACTTCTTCAGAGCTTTTTTATAGTGACAGTTTTTTGGCTGAAAGTTATCTCTTTGTCTGAGTTCCTTCTGTTTTTGGTTCAAAATTGCATTCTAAGACTTTCTTTGGATTCAAAAAAAGAAATTATTCTGGTTTTTTTAACGACTTTTTGTTTTAAAGCATTATCTGCGATTATCGAAATATCTATTGAGACTATAGTGTTGTCTTTCACGATACCGTTCCCGCACGTGTTCCACATTGTATATTTTTAAGTAAACAAAGCTTTGAAAATCAGTCGAAGCAAGTTTAAATTATTTTTTAAATTAAATGAAATGTTGATTTTTTCTAGTTGAATGGCGCACATTTTATACACATCCGTAACTGTAGACAGAATCCTGCTTCTCAGCTTCCCGTGGTTTGAGTTGCGTCAAAAATGAAAATGGAGTCGCCCGCACTCCATGTCGCCCGAGTGTCGCCCGAGTGTAAAAAGAGAAAATAATAGACTTTAAAGGGTTTTTTGCCAGTCTCAAAAAACTTCAAAAAGAAACGATTATTATCGATTAAAAATGCATTATAATTCTACTATTTTTCGAAACGATAAAAATCATTTTATTCGATTGTAATCGATTATAATTGATTATTTTATGGAAGTCTTTTTTCTCAATTTTTTTTGAATTATAATCCATTATAATGGATTATAATTCATTATGATTCAATAAACGTCATCGCTTCATTTCGTTTTAGTTTTGTTTTGCTTTGTGTGCTTTTCAGTTGGCTACCGAACTAAAAAAACTGTTCTTTTGTACTTATATCCACCAGCGGATTTAGGAAGGGGGTATCGGGGGGCGATGCCCCCCCCCCTCAGGGATTCGACCCTCTGCCGACCAAAAAGGTCTCCCCACCCCCCCCCCCCCACTTTTTTGAGATCACCCTACTATTTTGAGGTCCCCCACTACTTTTAGATATCCGTTTTTGGCTTACTGACCCTAAAATATTTTAACGGCGCCTAATATACAGTAGTTTTGAGGGATGCGCACCGGAAAAAAGCGACTTTTTGTTAAATTTTTTCCAAGAAGGGCCTAAAAATGCCTTTTTTGCCCGTTTTTTTTTCTTCAAAATTTTGCGCATAAAATTTGACCAAAACGGTATTTTCAATGCTTATAGTTTATGCAACGTTTGTAGGGTTTAAAAGACCCCCCTCGCTAAGATCCTAGATCCGCCCATGGTTTACTGATTCTTAATTCTTATTGATTATTTCTTTTTTTTTTCATGTAGAATAGTTAGATTAAAATCCATTCTAATAGATTTTTCTTGTGAAATAATATTTTGATAGAAAAAGAGATTGTAATCTATTGTAATAGATTTTATTAGATTATAAGAAATTTTAAAAGATTATAAGAGATTATAAGAAATTATAAGAGATTATAAGATATTATAAGAGATTATAAGAGATTTGAGGAAAACTATAATCAAATTTAATTGATTATAATTTATTAAAATGTCACCAAAATTTTTAACATTATAATCATCTAAAATTGGCGCTTTTAATTAATTAAAATTTTGCTAAAAGTACGATTATTATTATAATATAATCAATTAATTTTTTTTTACTGAGTGCGGGCGACACTTAATGAGACGAGGTACTGTTTATCTTCAACTTTTGGATCTTCTTAACAATCGCCCTCCGTTTGGTATCTACTGAAGAACTGCCACACTTTTAAATAAAAGCAGTAAATATCACTAGAGCTTTGTTTTTAACATTCGAATTATGCTGCATTCTGATCCGTCAAAAACTCGACAAATTAATCTACTTCACAAGTGCCACCCCCCTTTTCGAAATGTGGGGGGGGGGGATTGTTAAGTAGATCCCAGATTTTTTCGTACTCTCCCCAAGTAGCATAAAACCACTTGACTAAGAGCCATCAACTCGGCCGATGCGTAAAGTAATTCAAGACCGTTTCTTCAGGTGCATGCTTGTCTTTGATTGGTTGATTTCAGAGGGGTTTCTAATTCGGATCTCTCGCGTTCAGTTTACTGTTACTGTTTATTGTGC